CGTGCGAAAGCTGAAACTTTTAGATTCGATTTCATATTTGTTAGCAGGAGAGGAGCGCTGCAGTGGAAGCAGATTCAGATTCAGAAATTGGTAAGGGTTGCAAAATAAATAATTGATATTTGCAAAATCAATTGCTTCTAAAAAAATAAATAAAATAGATGCCTCTGAATGAATATATATGTATATATTAAAGATTTATTTCTTTAATTTACTTTCAATGTTAAAAAATATTAAAAATATTATTCATTTTGTCTTCAATTAATATTTATATATAAATATCTTCACAACATTGAAATAATATAAATAGCAGCTATATAATTAGCCTTAAATTCGTAGAGTGCAAATGCTGCATTCATTCATAATAGAAGCAACAAACACAGCAAGCATTAAGGGCTTTTGGAGCTGAGCTGGGAGCTGGAAACTGGGAGCTGGGTCCTGGGGCTGGGCAGCCATTTTGCATAGCACAGGCAAGCTGACAAGTGTTGTGAAATGACGAAGATGCATGGCTGGCAACAGTGAGGGAGGCTGCAGATGGAGAGGACGCATGTTGCAGTGACAACAGCCCAACAGAAGCTGCAGCTAGGAGACAGCCACAGCCACACACAGCTCATCCTTAATGCTGGCTGTTGTTGTCTACTCGAGTCCTTGCATCCTGGACAGCTGCAGCTGCAGCTTGTTTGGGATTTTCACATGCGCTTGTTACACTGCGCACGACGTTGATGTGACATGCAACACATTAGCCAAATGAAATTTTTTTTCTGCTGCTCTGCTTCTTCTGTTGCTGCTCAACTCCTTTGGCGCCCTGCCAATCGCTGGGACTGGAGCTGTCAGCTCTGGCAAACAGCTGCTCTAATTTTTATCAATTTAATAGACTTTTTATGATCCTGGCCATTATCTCACCTGTTTTAATTATATTTGTTTTGTCTGCCACCGAAAATGTGTTGACTGCTGCTTGGCGTCCCGAACAAACATTCAACTTTAATTGCAGTCATAAATATTTTCAATACCCTACCTGGGCTGTCGAGTATATGGATGAAAATGACGATCCTAAAACTTGTGAAATAAGAGAGCAAATATTATATATGTTTTTTATTAAAAATGAATTTTATACTTAAATAAATAAATACTTTACGATTACCAAGGAAATATACAAAGTTTTACTTTGATATCATTTTATGTTCTATTTCCAATGTTTTCCCTTTTTTGTTCGTATTGCTTAGCATATTTATATGTGTATTTATTGTAGGGTATTACTTCTTCTATAGGCTTCATTTTAATTGATTTTTTCCTGTGCAGTTTCAGTTCTCAGCCACGTGACGACGGCTGCCTGTGAGCTTAGCTAAGCCACCTAAGGCGCTCTGCTGCGAATTAATTTCGCTTCTGAATGGCTTTTGTAATTAAAATGCGGACAGCGCGTAAGGGCAAAGGTATCAGGTGAGAGAGGTGGCAGGCTTGCGGGTGCTACGAATATGTCTTATCATTTTTGCAGATTTAGACGCAATTTGCGTTACACGAGCTTCAATTGACAAAGTGTTACGCGGACTAACTGACAAACTGACTGATGAACTGCAACTGTCGGATAGATAGAAGAAGAGGCGAGGGCGGTAACATTTTTCAGGCTTTGCTTTGCCAGTTTCAGACTTCAAAACAATTTAAAACCTTCGCTCTGGATTCTGTTGCCTGGTTGCCTGCTGCCTCCTGCCTCCTGCCTGTTGCCCGTTGCCCGTTGCCTGTTGCCTGGCTAGCTGGCTGGCTGGCTGCTGTCAATTGCTGTCGCCCCAAGCCGACTCTCTCTGGAGTGGCTCGAGCATTTTGGTTTTGTATTATGCAATACGGAAATACTGTCACTGGAAATGTCCTTACCTGCCTAACGTAGTCGCTGCCGTTACCGTTGCCGTTGCTGTTGCCGTTGCTCCATAAATCAACTCAAGTGCCTACGCCCCAGCTGATTTATTTTTGCCCTGCCAAGTCGCTCGCTCCTGCGATGGGTAGGGGCCGATGAAAAGTGGGCGTGGGCGTGAATGCGAGGCCCTGGCATTTGCCTAAAATATTTAACCGGCACTTGTGCACAACAATTCCAGTTGCCATTCGTTCTGCTGTCTCCAGCTCCCTCGCTTCCTCTGGCTATGCCTGCTTTTTATTTCCTCTCTTGCTCACTTTCTCTCTCTCTTTGGTTTTTTTTTTTTTTTTGTATTTTTATTAAATTCTCAAGTGGCATTCGCGCGAATTTCCACAGTGCGCTGCCCTTTTCCCATTTGTTTTCTTTGCTATTTTCCAGCCAAAAAGTTTCTTTGTCAATTTCCCGTATAATGCACAATAATAATACGAGAAAGTTAAAGAAGCAATTCGAGTTGAACTTGAATTTAGATGGGGAGCCAGCAAACACAGCAGCTACAACAATTTGTGGCAAGTGATTACCTTAGGCATTTTGCGGCTCGCAAATTGCGCCGAGCTCAAGGGTATACCGCAGCCTCTTAGCCAGCCATTGTTCCTCTGCCTGCCCTTGTTGTTCCTGTTGTTCCTGTTGTTCCCGTTTGCTGTAGTTAAGCGTCAGGCGCGCAGAGCGGATCAGCAGCAGCATCAGCATCAGCATCAACATCAGCATCAGCATTTCCCACAGGCCAACAGCAAATTTTAATTTTTAATTTCGTTGCGCATAATAAAAATACCGTTACAGATACACACGTAGCATGAGAGGCGCCGCAGCACGTGTTTTGTGTCCTGCAAATAGCCGAGTGGCGGCAGCAGGAGCAGCAGCAGGAGGAGTAAGAGTAACAGGAGGAGGCACTAACGCCCTTTGGACACTTAACAGACATTTGCATGTAAATTTCATTGCAGCTAATAGCTTATTCAGGGCTAAAGCCTTCAAATCAAATAATGACATCAACCAACAAAAATGAGTTACAGCTAATGGAAAGCGCTTTCTATTGATCTGTTAAAAGCGCTAGAATGCTGATACAACAATATACATTATACTTTCCAAATTTGTTTATAGTAATTCAAGAGATTAGCTGAACTAAAATCTAAAATTTGCATCTTACTGTGTAGTGCTTCAAGTACATAATTAAATTGCCCCGAAAAGTATGCTACATTTTAATATAATATTTTGCAAATAAAAAATACTATAATGGTATTTTTACTTTGCCAGTTTTGCATCTCATTATCGTATCTCCATCATTTTATTCTGGCTTATTTACTGAAAAACCTAGTTTGCATAATAATACATTTTATATTGAAATTGTTGTATACGCGCTTCTTAAAATATTTTCAGCTAACAATTATATCGAATATCCTTAGTTTATGTTGACGCGTAATTATTTTCGATGAAAACCAAATAACAAGGGCCAAAAGTACGAAAACAACAATAATTAGCCAAAAAGTTTGCACAACAGCACGTAAAATTCAATTTCATGGGCAACAGAACAGGCGCACCAGGCAGGCTGTTACAGCAGAGGCTGTAATTAAACGCGAAATTGGGTGTATATTTGAGCGAGTGTGCGTGCATGTATCCATGTGTGTGTGTCTGTGTACAAAAATTACAAGGCAGGTGAGCTAATTACAAAAATTTGTTGTGTGAGACAGCTGTTTGGCTGCGCCTTTCGGTTGCACAAATACACAGCTGAATGCGAAACGGCATACATAGGGTCACATACACATACACACACACATAAGCAGAGACACATAAACAACCAGCGAATGCCACATAATGCATGCAGCTAATGAGATTTTGATAGAAACTGGCGAGCGGGTAAGAGCAACAACAACTAAAAAGACAAATAAGACAGCTCTTCTCGAGAGTGATCGACGATGAGATCCCCTAAGCCCTTCGCAGAACTGATATTACAATCATTCGAATGCACACGCACATACACAAACTTAGTTGTTGAAGATTTACTCTTGCAGTTGGACATTCGTAAAGCGCCCGAATAAGATAATCAAATAGAGATGTAAGTGGGTGAATTTGAGAATGGTATACAAAATACAAGTAAAGTCAAAAATGTATAAAATATGGAGATGAGGGCGAAGCATTCACACAAACAAACAGACAGAAGCACAGCGCTAAATCGAATCAGTTTATCACCTCGATAAATAATTTATGACTTTTGCCACGCCTTCTTCTGTTTGCTACATACATTTAAAGGGAACCATTATTCCCTGATTTCACATTTTCAATGGATTCATGGTATAAAAAATTGTTGACAGCTGGCTGATTAAACGTGGATTTTTTTTGCGACGTATCAAATCAGCCAAGGACAACAGAGTGAGAGAGACAGAGAGAGAGAGAGAGAAAGAGAATGAGAGATGAATCGTGTGCAAGTGTCTGTCGGTTGACAAAGAGCATAATTTATGAAGCAGCAACAAAGTGTCGCTTTCAAATTGCATGCAAATGAATGCCAAAAGAGAGCGTGATATGTGCACTTAAATAAATTGAAGCCTGAACCAGGAATTGCATAAATAATATATTTACAGTTATACATGTATGCTTGTGTAATGCAATGCAAATGTGTTTCAATAGTTTTCCAGTTAATTAGACCTGTTGCATAGACAAGGTCTTGAAGAGATTGTAGATTTCCTCTTGTGGCTTTCAGCGAATCTCAAGTTGGTGCTTCAATGTCAGGCTGCTGTCACCTGCAGCTGGCAGTAATAACAGTAAAGAATCTTAAGTTAATGCAGAGTCTGAGTAAATCAAGTCCTACTTTTTCATATTACTCTGTAAAATATTTGCAAGCACTTTGGCAAAATACTTGGCAGATAATTCCCGCTCTCCGCTTGATGGAGCTGGTGCAACTGCAGCTGACTGACACCATTTGGTGGTGCGGCAACTGTTGTTGGCATTGTTGTTCTTGTTGCATGCACTGCGCCCGCTTAGCGTTTACATCTTGGCTTAAAGTCTCGGTTGTTGCAGCACCTGCGGCAGCTGCTGAAATAAATCTGAGGCGGAAAACTTTGCCAAGCGTCTGCAGTCGCTGGCATGTGGCAGGCGGCGTGAGGCTTGCGGGATGAGGGATGAGGGCATGCGTCTGGCGACTGGCCCAAGTGTTATTTACCTTTTCTCTTTGTTACTTTGACTACGCCCAAGCCAGAGCCAGAGTCAGTGCCTTGGGACATGCACCATGAAAAGTTCACTTCAAGTTAACTTTTCTCTCTCTCTCTCTCTTGATCTCCCTCCCCTCTGCTGACTCGCTATTACAATGGGGATTCTCAGCGAGCAGTTGCTCGATGTTTGTTCTGCATAATTAAACGATTGTCTGGAATATCGTGTTGCAACTTTGACAGCGCCTCAGCGAGGTCCCAGACGCAGACACAACTGTCAACTGACAAAGTGATGAACACGGCCTGAATCATGCAGAGGTGTAAGCAGATTCGCATAATGTTGTGCTAAGCAGTTGGCGCTTGAACTGATTTGATTTGAACAGAGGAAATAGTTTACACAAAAATCGAAGCTATAATAACTACATCAGGCTACTTTCTGACCCCACTGCCAACTTGTCAGGATGACCGAGCGGTCTAAGGTGCCAGACTTAAGCGAAGCTTGCTAAGCATTCTGGTCCTCTCTGAGGGCGTGGGTTCGAATCCCACTTCTGACAAACTGCTTTTTTGTATTTTTTAATATAATATAAATAAAAATATATATCAGATAATATTTAAAGATGTTGTTTATTACCTCTAAAATATATATATAAATATTTGAGCATTTTAGAAAAGACTTATTCTAAATAAAAACCAAGACACACTACAATTATTACCCTTGGCGAATAAATAATATAAATATTAAATTAATTTATATACCCACGTTTTATTAAGTCTATAATAAAGTATTATATATTATATTTTATCTACAAATTCAAGAATTTCAAGATTTATTAAATGTAATAATCAATTCTCTATTTGTATATATTAGTTCAGCTATTTTTGGGAAATATCTTTTCTATCTCATATTGAAGGAAACCAGGAAATCCAAGCGAGCAATCTAGAAATTATCTGCATTGCTTTTAATTCAATTTAGCCAAATTAGAGACGCATCCCCTGCTCCAGTCGCACATTTAATCAGGCTAATAGCTCTCAATGGGCACACAGCACTACTATCATTAACAATATCAACCACAACACAACAGCAGGACCAAGTGCTATAATTAATCTAGCTGTGTAATAACCGTCATTAAGCTAAACAAACGGAATTCGGACATTTCCCAGTTGCTGTTGTGCATAAATTTCAATTTGACGAGCCGAGAAGAGGCAGACCTTACAACACCACACCTGATTTGCCCTGCTTTTGCCACCGCCCGCGCCCCCCAACCTGACCGTGTGCTGCCTCAGCGTGTATTGCCAATTAAATGACTGCCCTTTAGCGAAGTGTGCTGCAGCGGCCCGGGGAATTGTATTTTGTAAATATCATAGCCGTGGCAAATGTTTAATGATACGAAATTAATGCGCAAACATCAACGACAATGTGGCCGAGCGGGGGCGTGTATGCCGCAGTTCACCTCAAATGTTAATGACAGAGGCCCCAGGGTGGCTTCATTTATGAATTCCCTGCGTATACTTAATATCGATAAGTGGGTGGCTAAACCATTCAATTGGGTAAATGTTACTGAAAGTTCTGTATCTGTATCTGTATCTGTATCTGTATCTGTATCTGTATCTGTATCTGT